TTTAAAAAAGATTCATGATATAGAACTGTTGTGACTCAGAGGTTTGAGCCTGCTCTGTTAGAAGACAAAGACTTGAGCAATGTGGAAGAGGAGGATTTGGCCTTGAGGTTTGAGCCTGCTTTGCTGGAGGACACAGACTTGAGCCAGGAGGAAGAGGAGGATTTGGCTCTGAGGTTTGAGCCTGCTTTGCTGGAGAATTTGGAATTGCCTTCCTCCCCAGGACCTTCCTCCCTGGTTGTGCCTCAGGTGTCGGCAGATAATCAGGAGAGCGTGCCGGAGTACTTGGCTGAGGATCAAGCCGAGGAATGCTGGTTTGATGCAAGGCAAAGACGCAGGCAGAAGCGTGAAATGCAACGTAAAAAGAAAGAACAAATCAGAGACTGAGATGAGAGACTGACAACGCCCCACAGGGAATAAAAGTGGGCGTGTTAGCTCTGATTCCTTGTTCGGGACAACTTGTTGATTTATGAGAGAAGCTTCTGCATATTTTCCTGTGTGGCATCGGTTTGTGATTTATGTTTCCTTATCGGACTTGGCAGACAGCTGGCGTGCGACTGCCAAGAATGTTTTAGGATTAAGGAAGTTAACCCTGCAATTACCGGACTTGCCTGCTTATTTGTGCTTCAGTTGGAAATTTGGACTTATTACTTTGTTTGTCCAGGTGAGACATAACATTTTTGTCCCGAACCCAAACAAAAACCATCTTTTGAATAAGATGAACCAACAACAGCAGCATCAACAGCAGCAGCAACAGATTAATCAGCTGCAAAATGATAACCAAGTTCTGCAGCAGCAAGTTACTCAGCTGATTAATCAACTCACTCTGCTGCAGGCTCGTGCTGCTCCTCCTGCCCCTCCCCATAGGAAATGCCCAGTAGCTGTGCCGGATAAGTTCTCTGGGCAGCCTGAAATGTTCCCGGCTTTCATGGGACAGTGCCAGTTGTTTATGGCTCTGAGGCCGGAGGATTTTCCTGATGACCGGGCTCGGGTGGGGTTTGTAATCAGCCTTCTGTCAGGCTCGGCTGCCAGGTGGGCCACTCCTTTGTTATTGCAGGACAGTCCATTGCTAACGGACTATCAGGGGTTTTGGCGTCACCTGAGACTTATGTATGAGGACCCCATATGGGCTCAGACAGCAGCCAGATGCCTGAAGGAACTTCGCCAGGGGAAACGCCCTTTGCAGGAGTTCATTTCAGAGTTTCGACTGCTCTGTTTGGACTCTGCGTGGAATGATGCGGCTTTAATGGACGCTTTCCAAAATGGCCTGTCGGAGGACATACAGGACGAGTTGGTTCACGTGGAGCCGGCCCCGACCCTCGATGCTCTGGTGGTGCAATGCTTGCGCATTGATGTCCGGCTTCAACGGCGCAAGACTCGACGCCCTGTTCCAGAAAGAGCCATCCACCTCAAGGCCATAGCGTCCTGTACAACCAGCGCCCCGGGTCTTCCACAGTGACGTGGCCATGGCCGAGGAGCCGATGGAGTTGGGTGCGATCCGACCTCGTTTGATGGCCCAAGAACGCACACAGAGACTCCAGGGAGGCTTATGCCTGTATTGTGGGGGGCCTGGACATTTTGCGAATTCCTGTTCTGTTCAATGGCGGGGGGCACGCAGGCCTGTGCCCGAATCTAGACTTGATCAGTCGGGGAAACAAGGTCAGTCCAGCCTCGGGGAATCTCTAGGCCAGACACGTATCAACCACCCGCCTGAAGTAGCTCGACATTTACTTCTAGACACTCGGGTTTTCTTGCCGTCCCGGTCAGAGGGGATCCCTGCAGTTGCGTTGGTGGACTCGGGGGCTATGACCAGTTTCATGGACCAGGCCTTTGCAACTCATTTTGACATCCCCTTGGTTGCGGTGGAGCCTCCAATGAAGGTGGAAACGATTGATGGGTGGGAACTTCGTGCTGGGCCCATTCATTTCGCTACCCAGCCGTTGCGCCTGGTTATTGGGGACCATGAGGAGGCGATTAGTTTCTACATCACTGCGGACCTCCATCTCCCCTTGGTCCTCGGAATGGCCTGGTTACAGTGACACAATCCTCGGGTGGCATGGGCGCAGAACGCCATTTTGTTCCCGAGTCTCCAGTGTGTGGACCATTTACGACACACCTGTGCTGGCCAGGACATCGCCGCCCCCGCCGTCTCCATACCTCCTGAACTCTCCGATTTTTCTGATTTCTTTAGCGAGAAGGAGGCGGATCGGTTACCCCCGCATCAACCCTGTGACTGTGCCGTGGACCTTCTGCCCGATGCCCCACTACCCAAGGGATGCCTGTATTCTATGTCTGAGCCCGAATTGGCCGCCCTTCATGATTTCTTGGAAAAGAATTTGGCCCGGGGGTTTATCCGGCCCTCGTCCCCCCCTCTTTCTGCTCCTGTTCTTTTTGTTAAAAAGAAGATGGGGGACTTGCGCTTGTGTTGCGACTACTGCCAGTTGAACGCCATTACGGTGCGGAATAGTTATCCCTTGCCGCTCATTCCAGAGTTGATGGAGCAGTTACGGGAGGCTACTGTTTTCACCAAGCTCGATCTTCGAGGGGCCTACAACCTGGTGCGGATGCGAGAGGGGGACGAATGGAAGATGGCGTTTGGCACCCGATACGGCCATTTTGAATACACCGTGATGCCGTTCGGGTTGACCAACGCCCCCGCGGTCTTCCAGCACCTGATGAACAATGTGTTCCGGGACATGCTTGATCGGTTCATGGTGGTGTACCTAGATGACATTTTGATTTATTCCAGGTCCAGGGAGAACCATATTCAACAAGTTCGTCAGGTATTGCAATGTCTTCGGGAGCATCAACTCTATGCGAAGCTGGAGAAATGCCTCTTTTTCCAGACTTCCATAGAGTTCTTGGGGCACATCATCTCTCCCGAAGGCATTGCCATGGACCCGCGTAAGGTGGAGGCTTTGTGTAGTAGGGAACCCCCTCGTTGAGTGAAAGACGTTCAATGTCTCTTGGGGTTCACTAATTATTATCGGACCTTCATCCCGGGTTTTGCCAAGCTGATGGATCCCATCACTTAGCTCCTTAGAAAGAAGGTCCCATTCCAGTGGGGGCCCCCGCAGCAACAGGCCTTTGAGGCTTTTAAGAAGGCCTTCGTTGCAGAACCTATCCTGAGGCATCCTGATCCACATCGTCCGTTTGTGGTGGAGACGGATGCGTCCAACGTGGCTATTGGGGCTGTGTTGTTGCAAGCCCCAGCGGATGGCGCCCCTCTTTTTCCCTGCGCTTACTATTCTCGGAAACTCACTCCTTCCGAGCGCAACTATACTATCTGGGAAAAAGAGTTGCTGGCTATCAAGGCTGCGTTTGAGACCTGGCGACATCACCTTGAGGGGGCTCGGCACAAGGTGGAGGTTCAGATGGATCATCGTAATTTGGAGCACTTGTCCACTGCGAGGAAGTTGAACCAGCGACAGATTCGGTGGTCGTTGTTCTTTGCTCGGTTCAACTTTTTTATGACTTATATCCCAGTGGTCAAAATCAGAGAGCAGATGCCCTGTCCCATAAACCTGAGTACCTTTGTCCCGAGGACCCTCTTCCTCCATGTACGGTGCTGCCACCAAAATCTTTGGCCGTTATCCAGGAACCGGTGGATTTGTGGACTCGGATACGAGAAGCGCAGCGCTTAGACGCTTGGTCGCAGCAGAGAATGGGGGAAATTGGACCTGAGTCCCCATGGACTCTGGAGGAGGGCTTACTATGACATCGGGGCCAATTGTACATGCCCACCAGGACACTTAGAGCCCTCATCATGACTCAATGTCATGACAACCCTGCTGCCGGCCATTTTGGATTTTTTAAGACCCTTCATCTGGTCACACAGACTTTTTGGTGGCCTCGAGTCCGGCATGATGTCTATGCCTACGTCCGGTCCTATGTACCATGCCGGCAAGCAAAAGCCGCGTCGGGTGCGCCTCCTGGTCTCCTTCAACCACTGCCGACTCCGGACAGATCATGGGGGGCAATTTCCATGGACTTCTTAACACATTTGCCCTCTTCGTTGGGATATACGACGGTGCTCGTGGTGGTTGACATGTTAACCAAGATGGCCCACTTTATCCCCTGTTGGAAGTTACCATCGGCTCATACTACTGCCCAGTTATTTTTGCAGCATGTGTTCCATCTACATGGTCTGCCGGACAGGGTAGTTTCAGATCGCAGTGTCCAGTTTACCGCTCAATTCTGGAAGAGCCTAATGACTGCGTTACAAGTGCAGGTGTGCTTGGCGTCAGCGCACCATCCGGAGACTGATGGTGGGGCGGAGAAAGTGATTGGCATCCTCGCCCAATATTTACGATGTTTTGTTAACCACCAACAGAACAATTGGGCGACTTATCTCCTGCTGGCTGTGGGAGACAGGGTGTGGTTATCCACGAAGCATCTATGGGTCGATCATCCGATTAAGAAGTTGGACCATCGCTTCATTGGTCCCTTCCCTATCGAGGCGGTCATCAATCCCGTTGCTTATCGGCTCACCCTACCGCGCTCCATGCGCATTCATCCTGTCTTCCACCACTCCCTTCTGGTTCCTGACGCCCCATCGTGTGCTCTCCATTCTCCCGCTGGTACGGTTTCTCCATCTGTACCCAGTGATGATCCCACTGCTGATTATCGGACTTGGCAGACAGCTGGCGTGCGACTGCCAAGAATGTTTTAGGATTAAGGAAGTTAACCCTGCAATTACCGGACTTGCCTGCTTATTTGTGCTTCAGTTGGAAATTTGGACTTATTACTTTGTTTGTCCAGGTGAGACATAACGTAGAACTACGTCAAGTTTTCTCCCATATAGATTTTATTGATTTTTTATTTGCATTTATTATGCACCCAAAAAATTAATTAAAACTACTACAAGAAAAGATATTGGAAACCAACAATATTCAGTATAAACAATTTGCTCTGATTATTGGTTTCTGTTAAAAATAGCTAACATGATCCAACCAATAATTTGTCTATTTAAAGTTTAAATAAATACTTACCTAATTGTCTTCCTATGATTGTGTGCAGAGTGGACTCATTGCCAACCTTGTCAGCAATCTTGCACATCTTTTAAAGTCTATGAATATGACAGAAGCACATTGTTAGTTTTGATTAGCAACATGTAGCTCAACATTTGTATGATTTCAGAATAGAAAAGTTTTTTTTCTCAAAAATGCTCATAAATACATTCCCAAATAGAAAGTACACTTCAGAATTCTGATTTCTGGATTGATCAAAGTTTGGCAGAAACAAAATCTTCTGAGAATTTTGAATTATTTTACAGGATATTTAGGGCAACGCTGGTGCCCCTCTCCCCCTCATTTCAGAAACAATGCAGTGCATCACCATTTCCTCCTCAGCTGCTGTGATATTATAGCATGGCATAACTCATTGTTCTGCTCACTTTCAATCTTCTCAGAAACTTCCTTTCCTTCTCTCCCTCCTATGAAGATACCCGGCTTTAGTTATTTAATTCTTACCAACCCCTCCTCCCCCCCAAATTTCTGTCTACATTCATTCTTCATTCAGCATTCCTACAAATTGTACATATATTGTTCTGGTAAAGAACCATCCCAAAATGACTGTTCTAAACAGAATTGTTGATATGAACAATTTAGCACACACCTACTAAAGTAACTACAAAGTTACAATAATTTAAATTATCTCTATTTTTTTCAATTAAAAAAGGTTCATGACTTTCAACTGCAATACTTTACATCAGAAGATAATTGAGGATGCCACATTTTTAGAAAAAGCAAGTGATCAAATTATTGACTTTTATTATGTATCAGTTGACAATCAATGGAAATATCTATATGTTTCTCAAGAGAGATTCTCATTAAAGAGGAACAGTGGTCCAATAAGAAAGTCATTCTAAGGCATTATACCCAGATAGATTACATTCCATCCAGTTGTTGTCTACTCTTAATGATCACATATCATCAGTTCAAATCTAAATTTTTCACAAGTTATTTTTTTCTGAAAAGAACAGGTGACAGATCTTGCAGTTACTGAAATATGATTCAGCACACAATTAAGATTATCTTTCATGGCTTTTTATGTTATAGAGAGGAAGGAGCTTGCACATTCCAATGATGCTATGAGCTATATACCTTTTTACCTACAAATACTGTAAACAAGACCCATTATTAGAAAATTCTGCAGCAGTCTTCCTGTGTTGCAAAAACTTCATCACAACACATTTTATTCAATCTTTTCTTCTAGGTTAAAAAAACTGGTTTCTGTATTTATAAGGATAAAGTACTCCCTCTCCAGATCTGTTTAGGGCAGACACAAATGGTGTTACCAAAATTCTTGAATGTAATTTTAATATAATTAATTATTCAATAAACATGGTTGGTCTGGTAACTACAGGGAGATAGAATCCCCCTATTCATTAATGAAAATACATTGCACGATTTACTTTAGTCAACCAATTTTCTGTCATAAGAAAAGAAGACTAAAAGTATGAAAGGTTACAAATGGAAACTGAATTTCCTATAAAATTCCATTGTTCATGAATAGACAATTATACAATAAAAGCCCCAACTGGATAAACTGTTAAAGAGAAGGAAAAAATAGATTCTCAAAAATGAGTAATCAAGTGCAATTAGTAATCAGTAACATTGACTTATAGTTATTAAACATAAGATACTTATTCAATGTATAATTCTATCCATCATCACTAAATCAATAAATTTAATAATCTGTTTTAGCCATTATTACAGATTTGAGTTATTTGACAAGATAATAGCAAATGTATACACATACTATTCTCAAAGAAGGGTAGTGAAATAGCCATGAAATAAGAGCCTCAATTTAACAGGGTTAGGAAACATGAATTTAATTTTAGTTGTAACTTACAAGCTGGTGTTGAACAGTCCCGGGTATTATGATATAGACGATGGAAATGTTTACTACATTCAGCGGAAAATGTGACAGGACCTGTTTGATAATACATAATAATTAATGAAACACAAAATTTTGGTATTTTTTTAACATTACTCAAATAAGAAAAAAAATTCATTTTTAATTATCTATATTTGATTCATTTGTAATCTACTTAAAATCACTTGTTTTGCATTCTCTACTCAAAACACAATACGACATAATCTTCTGACTTCATTACATATAATTTATCATTTTTATAAAACTTATAAAATTAAAATGACAAGAGCTGCAAGCATGCAGAAACATGGTTTCTGGAATTCTTTCCAGCCCCTTTATCAGCTACAGTCATATATTTTTCTGTATGCAATAGGAAGTATGTACTCTAGATCTACAGGATAGATCTACATCTATGATCTTTATCGCATGGCTAGCAGAAAGAGAGAGGGAGATTTAAAATAAAACAGCTAACAATATTCTGAGCCAATATTCAAATTCTTTTTCCAGGGCGTCACATTAGAAAAAAATATTTATTGAATGTTTTTCTCTGCAGTCCTCAGTCTATGCTGTCAATTATCAAACCCCATCTTTCCTTAGCCAACATCTCCTCTTGATGATGGACTATCATATTATGCTGAGTTATGAGCCCTTTTACATAATTTCTTCCCAATATCCCATGCGGTTGGATGGAATTAGAAGGCAAAGAAAGCATGCAGGGCATAGCTTTAAGCATTTTAAAATGACTCTGCTCTGCATCACAGGAGTGGGAAAGAAAATGAGGGAGCCTTGAATGGAGAATCAGCAACAAGCTGCTTTCTGATTGTATCTCCTGTAACCCATTGGGAGTTTCTATTTGTTTTTTGTTTTTCTCTATATACTTCTTATTGCATCTTTCCCATTTTTGAATAACCTTTTTTTGGAGTGGGGGGAGGCTTGGCTTCTCCGCTTCTACCAAATTTGGTCCCATCCTATTTGTTTTAAGAGAATCATGCCACTGCAGATAAAAAGATAATTGTTAACAAACGGATAAACAGTCCCAAGTCCTGTGCACAGTGGGGTTTGAAAGAACAAAAACAGCAGAAGTGGTATTTAGTGGGACATAAAGTCTTGCATTTTTGGACTGTTGTTTTCTTTAATTTGCTTACAGAAAATTATCAGAAGGTTCTTATTAAGCAAATTCAATAAATGATAATTACTTGCCAACCAGATGTCTAATTTGGGGATAGAACATGTGTTTTCTTTTTGACATACATTATTCTGTATGTTATTGTTATTCTTTTGACTGTAAGTTCTGGTCCCACCTTAGGCATGAAAGCCTCCTGGGTGATCTTGGGCCAGTCACTCTCTCTTAGCCCAAATCACCTCACAGGGTTGTTGTTTTGGGCAAAATAGGAGGAAGAAATATTATGTGTTTGCCCCCTTGAGTTGTTTATAAAAATAATAAAAGTAGGATAATAAATAAGTATAATGTTATAGTTCAGCTCCTTCAGTTTCTATCTCCCTGAAATGAGTTGAATTTGTTTATAGAAACTTTTTATAATCTGGAATTTGTGCAAATATACAGAACAATTTCAGGCTCCAGGATCACAGGTTATGCTGCTATAGGTTATACAATTTTTTTTCAAAGGTATTATATTAAAATTGTAGTTTATTTATTTTGTTTATATATTCAATTTATGTAGCCACCCATCCAAAACCAATGACTCTGAGCAGCAAACAAACACAAATTAGTATAAAAAAGAAAAAACCAAGAGATACATAGAAGAAATTGTATTTACAAAAAGACATGAAGTTAAATGAGTTTGGATTATAATTCAACTAAATTTTAGATTTTATTTTAGTCCCTTATCTTTTTTGATCCCTGGAGTGCCATATATCTCTAATTTGTGAATTGGATGTTTAATATTTATTTGTATTGGTTTTACCATTTTTATTGTTTTAAAATATTTTAAAAAATTTTTAATCATAATTTCTGAACTGTAAGCCACTCAGAGTAATTAACTGAGATGGGCAGCCATAGATGGATGGATGGATGCATGGATGATGTCATGGATAACTGCATGCTGTTAGCATAGAGATGAATGTGTGCATTCAAATGAAGGTAAGCAGTCACTTTCTCCTGACATTTTAGCTATACCATGGTCCTAATTTTGTATTTCTTTGTATAGCTTTATCATCTGAACATTGCTAGACACAATCAACAGTTGGATAGAGGTTATCTAAATATATTTTCCATAGCTTTTACCTGTAAAGTGTTTGATGAATTTGTCTTTTAAACTGGAATCTCTTGGAAATACCTCTGTGAAAAAATAGAGATATCATAAGACAATAATAACAACAGATGACAATAATAAATTACAACAATAATTTGCTTGAAAATATGTGCATTTATAAAACTTATTAAGAAACCTGTTTTATTTTCCATTTCCTATCAACAATTGCAAAGCTAAAAAATTCAAATTAATGTACACATTTTTAGGCACATTGAATTATCAATCTAAATGCAGGAATAGCAAGTATAAGAATTCTCTACAAAAGGAACATTGCATATAGAAAGGTGCTCCTTTATTTCCAGCAGAAGTACTGTTTCCCTGCATAAAACTATGTGTGTGTATGAAATGTTACCATTCTCATGAAGAGACAATGTAGGAAATTGAAGCCGGAGGTGAACCTTACTTGCAATTGCTGTGTATAACCAGCCAGATTGCAACTTATTCTGCAGAGAAACCAGGGCAGGATAAGGATAGGATTTTTAAAAATAAACTTCAAAGCTATTTTAAACTGACAGCTGCCTTACATATGGTGATATAAGTACTATTTCTTTAATCATGTGTTTTTATTTATTCAACATATGTTACATTGAGGAAGAAAGGAAGAGAGCACCACATAAGAAGGGAAAGGAGGGAGAAGAACATTTAAAATTGAATTGTTACTATTGGTACATCCAAGTATCAGATAAAAGGATGTCTCTGATCTTATCAATGTTGACTGGAGTACAAATTATTCTCGGTCTGTATACCTTTGGTCACTTTTCAAGGGGCTTCTTGTAATGAATGGGACCCTAAGACAATATGTAAAGATGTATTCAGATTTTATTAATAGATGGTGGGATAGAGAAAGAGAAAATTCAGAAAGGCATAAAAATTGGATTGAATGGAATTAAGTTATCCTGCAAACCTCAGTCTGTCTGAATGTCATGTCTACATTAATTTTTAAGAAAAACATTGAGAACCATATTTCTTCTCTTTTTGGATGAAAGTATTCTGCTTAAAAGATTACCAGACATCATATATCACAAGTAATCATCCTCATGATTACTAGCTTACCTTGACTTCCTATTTTTTTTACATTTCTCATGGCAAGTAGTCAAGAAATATATAATGATATGTAATTTATTCTACCCACCTTTATGTCAAATACTTATAAATGCCTGTGAACTATATGTCACACAACTTTTTGAACCTCAAATATTGCATTTGAGGAGCTGGTGGAAAGAGAATCATAGATCAGAGACTAATTTTCTCTCTAGCTTTCCAATTAGTAACAAACAAAGTAGTTACTAAGGGGAAGAAGATAAGGACTCTCTCACAGCAATGATCCATAAGTCTTAATGTGAAACAAAATAAATCTAATTCCAGATTCATAGATGTGTTCGTTTAATTATTTGGGAAGCAGCATACAGTATTTAATGGGGGAACATTGGTGAACAACAACTGGATACATATTATCTTCCATATACTGTATATGCTGTGTGTTTATTTTGAAATAGATTAAAGCCATTCATAACCATGACCAAACATATTTTGCAAAAGTCGAGCATTGAATTAACTAAATAAATTATAATCTCAACATAAAAACACATCAATTTTACACTGGTTATATAATCACTAATTATTTCTTATACAGATGGTTTAATTATTAGTCCTAGGAAAGTTGCTTCTTACTTGTGGTTCTCAGCCATCTGGTTTATTGAACAAAACAAAATTGGATAGAGCTGAAAAATATTTGTTCCATTGAGAAATGCAAAAAAATTTCAACAAAAAACTTGTTGTGAGTCAGTACATTACACTTCTTTTTTTGTACATTTGAAAGAAATGAAAACCATAGTAAGAAAGCTACAGCTAATTTTAACTTTTTTTTCTATCCTTCATCATGCTTTAAGGCAATACTCAATAGTTAAAATGGAAAAAAAACCTGCTCTTCTACAATCTTTTATTTTTGCCATCACAATGAAAAAAAGAAATTACAAAGTTATCAGTTGAGAAGGATTATGCACAGAGAGCAGCATATTTTTATTCTGATAGAATAATCTTCTTTCCTTTAAATTTTTATGAGAAAAATGTGCATATTTCCAGATACATGCACACAGTCATTTCACTTCAATAACTGTCCCAGCAGAAGTACTGCTTGTACTGCATACATATGCATGATCTTGATGATTTAAGAACCTCCAGAATGGAAGAGGTTGCTCCAGAAAATTCAAAAGACTTGAAAAGGCAATTTAAACCTTCATTGCTATTATGTGACTAAAAATAACCTTTTCTGAAACTTGTTTGATTATGAAAAAATAACCTTTGGATTTATACCTATGCAAATAATGATTTCAGAAAAGGTTAAACTCCTCTCACCACCTCTTACACTTTCAATGAACAAAAAAGCAGTTGTAACTTAACCAATTTGCAAAATAAATATTAAAAATAGCATCACTTCTAGTTTGGATCTCCATATGTATTGTTGTTGATAGTAAAATGTATACAGAGAAACAGAAAAAAACGGAGTTCAGGAGAACTCTCCCGATCTCCATTTTCACTGGCAGAGCACTCAGGCTACCACAGGTGCCCCCAACATGAATGACATAGAGCTGACCACACCACCCTGGCCACACCCACCCCAGCCTCCTGAGGTCAAACACAACCCTGCTACGGCCCTCAATGAAATCGAGTTTGACACCCCTGATTTAATAGGTGGATAAAAATGCCAGATCCACTCTAAACATTTGACTGACTGTGTAACCAATCATCATAATAATGACCTGACAATTTTCCAGAGTGCACCACAATCATAAATGCAGATAACATTGACATATTTCTCAATGCATGCACATGTATAATTGGTAGTTTCTACAAACCAGCAGAACATGCTGTTAATTGTATTCCTCTGAAAGTTCACTGTTGATACAAATCATATCCAAGATATCCATACACAAAATTCAACAAATAAACCAATTCACATACAATTTTTAAATGTACTCTGGAACTCAACATTAACAGAACAAAACAGAATAGGTAGATGTTGCTTATATCAACACATGAACACCAAAACTCAACAAAGCAATCAAATCAAGTAAAAGGAAGACATAATTGGAGAAAGACCCCATGAACATCCAGGTCCTGATCCATGAAGGGCTTTAGAGATGACAACCAGCACTTTACTGAAATTGGTAACCAAGGGTTAACTACTGTAGCTAATGAAGCACAATAATTGCATGATCATATTATAGTCATAATTATTTATACAAAGACATTCTGGATCAGCTGTAATTTCTGGGCGGTCTGGCAGCCAAATGCAGAATGTAATGTAGAGTTCAAATGGAAAGTGACTAAGGGATGATTAACCACAAGATCCGCTAGTCCTGAAAAGGACATAATTGGCCAGAAGATAATCTGGACAAAAGCCATCCTTCTTACAATCACCATATGCTCTTCCATCAAGACTCACAAGTTTAAAAGTTCCCCTAAATTCTGAACAATTTTTGTCACACCCAGTGAACCATCAAAAATTAAAGATTGAAAACCCTTGCACATGACAAACTCTTGAATTAAAGACATTCAGCCATTCTAGGGCTGAGCCTGTATCTATTGCTCCCTATCGTGATTTTAATAGTCTCTAAAGATTGATGACAGAGGCTCAACAACATGTGGTTGACAGGAAAAAAACTAGATACACTCAGGAATCCTATAAAGAATGGATCTTGGGCTTCTATCCATCAAAACTGATTGGAACCAATCACAGAGAACTATTACAAAGCACTCCCCAATACACCCAAACTCCAAAATCAGTCCAGAAGGATACCACAATTGATAGTATTAAAAAGCAGCAAGAGATCAAATAGACCAGGAGAGTCATCCCACTACTACCCTGTTCCCGCCAAAGATCATCCACAAGTGCAATTAATGATATTTCAATACTATGTCCTGATCTAAAATCTATTTGAAAATAGTCCAAACAATTGGCTCTGGGTCTGCAATAAAACTGCCTTATCCATAACCTTATCCTTAAAAAAAAAAAAAAGCTTGGAGACTGCATGGAAATTGTCCATATTACTGGAGCAATTATTTTGCACAAAAAAAAACTATAGTAATCTATGTTGGAAAAAAATCTGGAATGTAGGAGCACTTTTTCTGATTAACAAACTAATTAACAAATTTTATTCAAAGACATGAATGCATTACTTCTTTCAAGCAGGAGCAACTATTTCCTCACTTAAGATGAATTCACCATCATTTCAGCTCACCAAGTTGTCTCTAAGGCACTTTAACCAGCCAAGAGAGACATAAATTTGTAATGGCATGTGTGGGTATAATCTTGGAAAGTGGGAGCTGGGGAGGAGATGCTGCCTAGGGAATGATCAGATAAGAGAAGCCATAGAAAGAAGGTCAGGAAAGAGCCTCCTAATTTATCAGGCTGTAAAAAGGCTGCAGGTGGTTTACAAAATTAATGTCACCTTTCAAAAGCAAATGACCAGATCAGCTAATTATTTTTATAAGTCTACATTAAGAGAATTTTGCTATGTCCTCTTTTATGGTATGGTTTCCTAGGCAGCAATGTTTTTCCCCACTCCCAAGGCACAGGTGGTATTCAGCCAGTTCTGACAGGTTCTGGAGAACCAGTAGCAGAAATTTTGAGTGGTTCGGAGAACTGGCATATGCCACCTCTGACTGGCCCCTCCCCCCATTTATTCTCTGCCTGATCAACTAGGTTTTCTTTTTTTGCCCTGCACAAGAGAACGGAGCTGGAAAGCAGGTTAGTGGGGTGGGGTAGAAATGGGGATTTTGCAGTATTCTTCCCCTGTCATGCCCACCAAGCCACACAATGCCCACCAAGCCACGCCCACAGAACCGGTAGTAAAAAATTTGAATACCACCACTGTAAGGTCATTCCCATATGAATGAATGATTGGGATAAAATTCTCATACAAAAAATGTTCATTTGAATCTTCTTCATCTATATAATTTTAATCTGCATAATTATCTCCTCAGACAATGTCAGTTGCAATTCAAGCTTCATATCTGCTGATCT